CGCGCTCGGAGTTACAAACATAGTGAATTGTACCACAGAAATATCAAATCTAAATGTACCCAGTGTAGAGTGTGTTCAAATACCTGTTGAGGACACACCTAGCGCACGTTTAGGAATGTATTTTGATAGATGTGCCGACACAATTCAACAAGTTCACAAAAGTGGCGGGAAAATACTCGTGCATTGTGTGGCGGGAATAAGCCGTTCACCTTGTGTTTGCATTGCATATCTTATGTATAGGATATCGACCGAGTACGAGGTCTTTCTGTTTAGGAAAGACCTGGTCACGAATTTCATGTGACACCGAGAGCGCGTAGCGCTCGAGGTGTTTCATGAAATTTGTGACCAGGTCTTACCTAAACAGAAAGATCGATGTACGAGGCCGATATCCACTTTACACACCGTAAAACTATATTGGCTGGAGCAATCATTTGATGTAATGCACAAATATTATTATTAACACAGCGTATAAACAGGTAAGCTTTTATCAATGTTCTGCTTAAATACAATACATATTTTGAACTTAACTTTGCTTTTCCCTTTAAAATAAAATTTAAAAAAAAGCTAAATGTGCAATATACCAATTAAAAAGTGAATAGGACTGTAATGGAAGGTATGTTAAAGAATGCATAATTAAGTTGATATTATTTCGTATCAGACATGCGGAATCTAAGACATTTGCCCCCGGACAGTTGCCGCCCTCGGACGTTTGCCTCTTTTATTTTGCTGTTGCGACTTGTCCCTTGTCAGAGGTCATCTCGTGTATAGATTTTTTTGTACGTCAATGGAAATATTATAGTTCATTTTTTTTGGATGCTTTTTTGATTTTCACAAATTTGCGCGAGATTTTTTGTGTATTTAAAGCAGCACGCCTCAAGATTCATGTAAATTTTTATGAAAATTTGGAAATGTATTTCAAAGTAAAATATTGTAAGGTGAACAAATTAAGTATTTAACATATTGCAATCGGCACTTACACAGAAAGGGGTTAACGGAGATTTAACAATCTGATTGATCCCGCGGGTGGGAATGCTACCAGAGACTTTTCTATTAACTGTGGGTAGCTGCGGTTTCTAATGCAAAGCGTATATGAATTGGTGAAAAGTTGTGAAATGGACATATTTTTGGTATATTTTTTATATGAATTTTTGGTACAATTTTATGTACTGTGAATTTCCTAGAACGTTAAAATTGTTATCGATTAGGTGATTTAAAATCGTAATAAGTATGCTTTGATTACTGCTATAGTTTCATTTGAATGAACTTGAAGCGTCCATTTTTTTTATTGTGAACTTAATGACCGAAGAACCAGTTAGATACGCGATTCAATAAATGTTAAATGTGTCCTTACTTTGATATGCTATATCCATTATTTTTATTCAAAGATTTAATACAGGGATGCTGGAATAATTGCTAAGTGCATTCAATAAACATTATCTTGTTTTAAAAATGTATCCCGAATTTGTAAGACAGGAACATAATGACAATCATTTACATTTGAATTCATTTTTTATATGCTTTATTGCGTTTCATGTTTTCTTTGTCTGCGCATAGGCAGGTCTATTTTTCACGTGTTTTTCATGACCGGGTCTGTCTAACTAGGACAGACCTGTGCACGTGCAAAAGATAGACCTCATAACGGACTTTCTTTTGTTTAAACAGGTATATCCGAAAAATATAGACCTGTCACAAACAATAGAGGAGGTGTGTAAGAAATATCAAAGGATGAGGTTAGATCAGGCTTACTACCACATCAAGAAATGCAGACGAGTGATCCACCCAAATGTTGGCTTTTGGCGCCAACTTATTGAGTTTGAACGCCGCCTCTTTGGCCGGAACACAGTCAAAATGATTCCAACCGGAACTGGGCCGATACCAGATATTTACAAGAAAGAACAGAAAAAGGACTATGGAGTAATATAAATGAAAAATGTGAAAGTTAATGCCGACAACATTTATATTGTTTTAAATAAAATGAAGATAAAAAATAATCATTTTCAAAACAGAATGGTTTTTTTTTTGTTTTGTTTTTTGTTTTCTTTTGTTTTGTTTTTTCATGAAAGTGGGCATCGATGTTTTTCAATTTTAGAACAAAAATGTCCGAAAACTGTCACATTTGTTGGCACGCAACATCGAAAAAGTGAAAGAAAAATTATGTTTATACATGTAATTAATATGTTCCTACCCGTTCACCGCCGCATGCCCGTCCGGAAAACCGATCTTGCGATCCTTATGAAAGCATTTGATGATGATGATTATTTCACAACAGCAGATATGAAGTACCGTGAGGCAACTGTTAAAAGTATTCCTGTATTCACTTTGGATTTATTATATTTTTCTGTATCTTTGGAATCACTGATTCAGTACTGTTTTAAGTGTTGAAGATTAAATACCGCTTTAGGCGATGGGGCTATGGGGCGTTGCGCCTTTCCGTTATCCCTCATGGACAGCCTCAATCAAACAGAGTCTGTATTTTTCATCATGATCACTTTTTTTAGTGTTTTCTTCACTTCCGAGGAATCTCCTACAATCCACTATTTCATTCTACCCATCATTAAAGTGATTTTATTACCATCTTTATCAGCATATTTTTTCAAGAAAGGCGTTTTTAATTGACACCTTTTAATTTAAATTCTTAATATTAGAAATTGTTATGTACATGCATATCGTATATAGAGTTCATTTGCAACATTTTCCATGTTTAGTCATCTTTAAACTGAATGTGAGCTTTACAAATTGAAGAGTAATAATGCATATATGTATGTGTAAATGGAAATATAATAGGCGATTCACATATTCACAATATCTTATGATAACAAAAGCTTGGTGTTTTGCTTATATAATACTGCGGTGAAATATTTCTAACAAAGTTGACTTTGGTATAAATGTCTGAAGTAAATAAATAAATATCAGACACAATAATTAAATTCATTTCTAAAATTAACTTCATCATACTCATCGTTTTGCTACATTTGTAACAAAGATTCAAGCAGTATCTTATTATCGTATTCTTGAGATTCTTTTTTTTTGCTGCTAGTTTGCACATTAATGTAGAACATATTTAAGGACTATTTTTCCACTCACGGCACGTGATTTATTTCTCAGTCAATTATTACGCGCTGTCAGACGACATTATTGGTAAACAAGATGTACATGAAGCAGACTTATAGAGATCGTATTTCCTTTTCCGTCGTGAGTTGCGTCATTGATAAATTGGCATTGCCCTGAGGATGAAGAATATCTTACTTTATAATGCAATCTATAGGAACGATGTTTTAGTATAACTGGTATGGAATCAGAAATCAAATTTATATTTCCTGGTTAATGTATCATTCTCTTGTTCAACATCTTTTATGTCGTCTGCTCCAAATGTAACGTAGTGCAGTATATTGAACCAAAATAGAAAGCTTAAAGTACATCGCAAAATTTTATAACAAATGACACTGAAATGTCTTTCCATTAAATTGATATTTTACTATATACAAGTACTAGTGTTACACTTATTACTGCTTACAATGTAAAACATTGTCATGTATTGTTGATAAGGCCATTTTAATAATAATTGTTTTACACATAACAAAAACAAGTTGTTGTATCAAACGAAACACTTAAAATTATAAATACACAAACAACAGAACTGGCAAACTATTCTATAATCTACGTATTTTTACAACTATTTTATTACAGTTGAATCAATGTATGAAAGTTCAATATAATGAATAAAAGAAATTGCACGGAAAAAAACCCAAGCTGTTATCAGCAAAATGTTCGGTCGTTTTTGCCGGATGAACATGAAAGGGGCAACTCATACTTTGTATGGTGTTTTCTACTAAGGACACGTATTTTATTTAGATTTATCATTTTCAGGTGCGCTTAAAAACATAATTTCAAAATAACATATATGTCAATTTTCTTACGGTACACTGCCACAAAGTTACTAATTATGTATAATACTATTTTACACACATAATTGAAAATATATTATTGCATTCCGAACTTCAAAATAAATATGAAATAAAATACAAAATATTGCTAAAATCATTTCTGAACCCCAACAAATATCAATCAAGCAAATATTATATTATGTCGATAAACAGTAAAGCAACGTAAAGCACGGACCTACTAAATGTGAATAGACCATCTCTCACTTGTTAGGACTGCCTATTATTGTTTTTGGGGGATATTAGAATTAAAATAACTGAAAGCCTTACCCGGCTGTTTCCCTGATGGATGTAAAGACTGGTCTGATTCTAAACTAGTGGCAAAGGTTAAGATACGTAAGTAGCATACAGTAAATTAACAAAATGATAGAAGTGGTCAGCAAGTGACGAAGTCTTGTTGTGTCCAATTCTGATGACTCTTTGTCGGAAAGAAAGGACAGGATTGGTCACACCTAAGTTGGAGTTCCTCTATACATTAAAGTTTTACTTCTCTACAAACGTGGGATGGATCTCGAAACTAGAAATGTATAGAAGATACATTCTCAGTCAAAACAAATTTTGTTCTGTGTCTTCTACCGTACATCAAACACACCTATTACACCTATTATCAAACAATCAAACAAGCGAGGGGATTGAATATATAACATTATTAAAAGGACTACCTTTAAATGGATTATATTTTCGCATACAAAAATACATGTACAAAATGTATCTTAAATATAGCTATGATAATGTCGAATGAAAATACTAGTCGGCAAATCTCTTAATTCTGACATTTTCAAGTGTTGTGTGTTGAGAAACCACAGTTTGTGTTAAGATTGGGTTAAAGTTACAAATAGTTTTATAAGTAAGCTATTTAAGAATAATACCATTAACTAGGTCTACAAAATAATAACAGATCAATTTCAAACACAAATATGCTTAGTAGTAGATAAATAGTCATTAACGTGGTATTTAAATCTACGATTAAATTGTCGTTATTATTAGAAATAATCCGGACAACCTATTATACACAATTCTAAACGGTTTATTTCAAGTGCTTACATATTTAACCTGGATATTTTTATAACGATATATTATTAGTTAGTGTTATATATAATCTGGATATACATGATACCTGACACAAAGGTAATTATGAATTATTTTGATTATTTAAGGGAGTCACACGTTTTGCTTATATCACACATGTTTCTAATTCTGGCTTACTAAAGTTTATAAGTCAGTTATTATCATTTTTTTTTTTTCATCTAATCACGTCATGTTTATAGTATCGCTTGTTGTTTCTACGCATAATGATTCTTGACTCTAATAATTAATACTATTCCTACTATATTTTACACTTAGATAGATAGATATAATTTATTGACGTATACATATTTGTACATAGTCATAATACAAAACACGTAATACATAAATCATAAGTCATGGTACGATCATATTGAAAACAAACATTGTTAAACAAAAGTATATATGGAGAATGTTCTTTAATCCATATTTAAACAATACAAAGTTGGCATTACTCTTATTAAAAAGTTGCAAAAATGACTTTCATACATTTAATATGTAGTGAATCAACGATTAAAATTACATGATAAATACCATACTGTCGCTTTTTAATTAGCAAAATTATCATGCGCATACTGGTAAAAATAGTCTTTAAATGGTAATATTAATAAGGTCATATCGACGCTTAGTAGCAAAGATGATGTATTTAGCAAGTCCAATTAATTCGGATTTATTTTTTGACTTCAAAAGCTGCAAAAATTTAAACATACTCGGCCTTCTGTAAAAATATGGCTTAATGAACTCCCTACGTAATGCAGTATAACAATTGCAAATGATAATAAAATGAAATTCATCCTCAATTTCTTGAAGATTACATAATTCACATTTTCTTTCAGAACGTGGATTTCTATTAGGACCATACCTCTCTGCCTCTATCTTTAATTTATGAGAAGATTATCTAATACGAGATAAATTTTGTCTGTAGGATTTAATGAATAAATTATCAAGATAAAATGCAGGTTCAAATTTGCCAATCAAATGTACATACAGATTAGACAAAAGTGGACTAGACTGAACGTCTGCATTTACTTTTTGTATAAAACAATCAACTAATCTACGTTTGAATATTTCAACAAACTCTTTTGGGCTGTATTGCAATGGGGTGAGCCATACATCTGTGAATCCATATTCATTTAAAATAGAATGAACCTTAGTTGCCCAGGAGTTATATCCATTATCATGAAGACTTATTGGTGAATAAAAAACAGACTTTAAGATATTATTATTTGAATGAAGAATATGTAACCAGAATCTTATTATTTGAACATATCTTTGAACATAAAGAGGATATCGGCCTAACTCCGAATAAACTGCTGCAGTACATGTACTGTGTTTTACGCCTAACAATGACTTGCAGAATTTCAAGTGAATCCTTTCTATATCCTTAGATTTTGTAAAACCCCATATTGCACATGAATAATTTAATGTTGAGGAAACAAATGCATCAAAGAGTTGGAGTGAAACGGAAGGGGTCACATCATATTTGTTAATATTACGAAGTAAAACATTTTGGGGTTTCATAGCTTTTCCTATAGCATACTGATTATGAAGTTGAAAAGACCCCGTATAACACTTTCACGAGTGATATTTTATTTCAAATTATGCTAAAATAATTATGTGGCGTTATATGCTTTTATTATTATTATTATTATTATTATTGTTATTATTATTATTATTATTTTTATTGTTATTATTATTATTATTATTATTATTATTATTATTATTATTATTATCTTTTTGGCAGGCAATTTATTATATTTTTTCCTATGTAACTTATTCAGTTACTTAATAAGATAGTGGTTGATATTTTCGAGATAACACCACATAATTGACGTCTAATGTTCTTAGGGATATTTAAAACTACACTCTTGGACCACATTAATTGTTAATCTTATAAAAAATTAGAAAAATGTTATGTTATTAACATTGTTATTAAAAGTGATTAAGAGAAAATTAACAAAATGTTCTCAAAAGAGTAGCTTAAACGGGTCAGCAATTAGGATATAAATATGGCAACAGGATTCAGTCAAAAAAGTGTTCAACGTGGATTGCAATTTATAGATTTATTAAACTCTTGATGTATTTTGTTTTTAATTTTTATATTTTATAAATGTTTGGAAACGTTTTGCGTGTGCATTTTCGATGGTTTTACATATTGGCACTTATTATAGTTAGTTAGATAGAGGATGCGTTTATCCTATACAGAGTTCTTGATCTCTATGTTTAAATTACTTTAAATTTCGATCTTGGCTGGCTTAATACCAACCGATTGATTTTCATTGACGAGGTGGTTGAGTATCAATAGTATATACAATGTATATATGCCCTTGAAAAATGCTGACAATGATGTTTCAATATACAATGTACGAAGTCATTTGTTTGGTAACAAAGCCACAAAAAGAAGTACTGGTAAAACATGCGTTAATTAAAATGCATATTTACGAATAAGAATATACAGAGGAAAGAAGTTAAATAACATTACAAAATAGAGCTATTTGATTATATTTCCAATCATTCAAATTCCAACGATAACACAATGATTTTAAAAACAATACCTTTGTAAATGTAAAAACACTGACCACTATTGTGCAACCTTGGCATTTTTCGCCATATTTCGTATCTTATGAAAATTAAAAAGCATTTATGATAATAGCAGTAACATAAATAATGGTACCTGGGTGTTTTCTGAAAATATATAAGATGCAAAAATGCGAACAATCTAAATCGGTGCGACATAATGAAGAACAGTATCAAAAGCATATGATGTTAATATGGTACGTGTGATGGTAACTAGCTTTTTTTGAAGGGTTTGTTTTCAGAAATTGTACGTTGTAAATAAACATTTAATAAAGTATAATGGCTGCAGATATTTTTCCACTTGTTTATATATTTTTTCAGGTCTATCTTAAATAAAAAAGCGGCAAGAATTGACCATGGTTGGTCAGATATCACAAATTGATGAACATTTGTTTCTGTGCAGCGCAGGCGCAGTGAAGACAGACATTGTCCGCGCGCTCGGAGTTACAAACATAGTGAATTGTACCACAGAAATATCAAATCTAAATGTACCCAGTGTAGAGTGTGTTCAAATACCTGTTGAGGACACACCTAGCGCACGTTTAGGAATGTATTTTGATAGATGTGCCGACAAAATTCAACAAGTTCACAAAAGTGGCGGGAAAATACTCGTGCATTGTGTGGCGGGAATAAGCCGTTCACCTTGTGTATGCATTGCATATCTTATGAAATATCAAAGAATGAGGTTAGATCAGGCTTACTACCACATAAAGAATCGCAGACGAGTGATCCATCCAAATGTTGGCTTTTGGCGCCAACTTATTGAGTTTGAACGCCGCCTCTTTGGCCGGAACACAGTGAAAATGATTCCAACCGGAACTGGGCCGATACCAGATATTTACAAGAAGGAACAGAAAAAAGACTATGGAGTAATATAAATGAAAAGTGTGAAAGTTAATGCTGACAACATTAATATTGTTATAAATAAAAATGAAGATAAAAAATAATCATTTTCAAAACAGAATGTTTTTTTTTTCTTTCTTTTTTCATGAAAGTGGGCATCGATGTTTTCAATTTTAGAACAAAAATGTCCGAAAACTGTCACATTTGTTTGCACGCAACATTGAAAAAGTGAATGAATAATTATGTTTATAATAATGTTCCTACCCGTTCACCGCCGCATGCCCGTCCGGAAAACCGGATCTTGCGATCCTTATGAAAACATTTGATGATGATTATTAAAATGGATAGAGAGCAATTTGGGGGATATGCGCATTATTTTAGTGTGTTCCTCAGTTGATAAATGAGGCTGCTGTCATACCAAATATACGTTAGTTCCGTAAATATTAGACCTTCAAAAGGTACTTACATTATTTTCATAAAGCTTGAAATAAAGAAAGATGGCAATTTATCTATTTTTCTTTTTTTTGGAAATGTGATATCTAATAATGGAAACAAAGATTAAAACAGTATCTTATTATCGTAATCTTGAGATTCTTTTGCTGCTAGTTTGCAAATTAATGTAGAACATATTTAAGGACTATTTTTCCACTCACGGCACGTGATTTATTTCTCCGCCAATTATTACGCACTGTCAGACGACATTATTTGTAAACAAGATGTAGACGAAGCAGACTTATAGAGATCTGATTTCCTTTTCCGTCGTGAGTGGCGTCATTGATAAATTGGCATTGCCCTAAGGACGAAGAATATCTTATATTATAATGCAATCTATAGGAACGGTGTTTTAGTATAACTGGTATGGAATCAGAAATCAAATTAATATTTCCTGGTTAATGTATCATTCTCTTGTTCAACATCTTTTATGTCGTCTGCTCCAAATGTAACGTAGTGTAGTATATTGAACCAAAATAGAAAGCTTAAAGTACATCGCAAAATTTTATAACAAATGACACTGAAATGTCTTTCCATTAAATTGATATTTTACTATATACAAGTACTAGTGTTACACTTATTACTGCTTACAATGTAAAACATTGTCATGTATTGTTGATAAGGCCATTTTAATAATAATTGTTTTACACATAACAAAAACAAGTTGTTGATTAACTTATGAAATATCAAACGGAACATTTAAACTTATAAATACACAAACAACAGAACTGGCAAATTATTCTAAAATATACGTATTGGTACAACTATTTTAGTACAGTTGAATCAATGTAGGAAAGTTCGATACATGTATAATGAATAAAAGAAATTGCACGGAGTAAAACGAAGCTGTTATCAGCAAAATGTTCGGTCATTTTTGCAGGACGTACATGAATGGGGCAACTCGTACTTTTTATGGTGTTTTCTACTAAGGACACGTATTTTGTTTAGATTTATCATTTTCTGGTCAGTTTAAAACATAATTTCAAAATAACATATATGTCAATTTTCTTAAGGTACACTGCCACAAAGTTACTTATTATGTATAATACTATTTTACACACATAATTGAAAATACATTATTGCAGTCCGAACTTCAAAATAAAAATAAAATACAAAATATTGCTAAAATCATTTCTGAACCCAAAAAAATATCAAACAATCAAATATTATATTTTGTCGATAAACAGTATAGCAACGTAATCCACTGACCTGCTAAATGTTAATAGACCATCTCTCACTTGTTAGGACTGCATATTATCGTTTTTTGGGGATATTAGAATTAAAATTACTGAGAGCCTTACCCGGCTGTTGCCCTGATGGATGTAAAGACTGATCTGATTCTAAACTAGTTGCAAAGGCTAATCACGTTCGAGTCCAGCAGATTAAGCATTAAGGTACGTAAGTAACAAACAGTAAATTAACAAAATGATATTAGTGGTAAGCAAGTTTTTTGTGCATGCTTCAATCTGCTTCAGAAAAATACTCTCATATTATAAAATATTCGGTACAGAAATCTGAGAGTTTAGAGACATGCACACTGGAACGAGTATAACAGTTGTTCCTCTTATTTTGTTCTCTTTTTGTAACATAAAGCAGTTTTGATAACTATATCAAATATTTTACAACTTCAGCTAAGATATGCGTTTTTAAAAACAAGGAAATTGCACGTGCCTATGCCTTTAAGATGCATTCCACTCTCCCCAAATAAAAGAACAATCATTTTGTGATTAAGTATTATGAAATTACAATGTTGCATGTCAATCGATATGAAATCAAATGCATTCGGTTACAACAATCATGCCCGAAGCATGATGAATATGATTCATTTCTTGAACAGATGAACTATATTAAGGTTTGAATATTGGTTAATATTTTGAGGTTGTTACACATTGTTGAGTACAATACTGAATTGTTATGAATGAGTACACAGCTTGTAAACCTATATTGGACTAGGCGTAAGCCGTGCCTGATATTGGATTTGTAGCTTTGTACGAGTCCAGTAGAATAAGTACTGCTCTCAATAATGTAAAATGACCTCTTTATTTCACACCTTTTTGACATTTTGACAGATCATTGTTGTTCATCTATATTAAGGATTTGATATGGATTTTCGATTCTCAACATTAAAAACCGAGTCTAGATGGGGTGGGTGCGATATCGATTAGATATGAACCTTTTGGACTCTGGAAAAGAAAACGAGGTTATGGTTGGTGTGATATGGATTTGAAATGGTAAACGAAAACGACGAGGACACCATTTGCTCTTCCAATAGAATTCAGGATTGAAATCAACAATGTATAATTACCTCCTATTACCACACCGTTGTTATCAGGTGTAATTCTTATAGTTTTATTTTCTTGAATCAGTTTTACAGTTCCATATTTATTATGGATATAATAATAGGTAAAGCACTAAGATAATATGACAACAATTTCAGTGTTTACGCATTATTATTGTCTGTGGCTGTTATTGTCTGCGTCTCAGAAAGTGCATAAAGTTGTGTTTTATTTAATGAAAGCTATATTATTTCTCAGTGAACTGAAGAAATGAAGAAACGCAATTTCGAACTAACAAATTTTCATGTTCCGTCTCTTTCAAACAAACTTCCCAAAAAGAAGATTTTTTGTCACGTGCAACTGAAATTACAAAACTGCACATTGATCAATATAAAAGCAAATACATATGGCTGTAATAATAATACCGGATGCAAAAGAAATGTGAAACCAAGAATAACAATTTCCTGAACAACGCAATAATGTCATAGATGTCTAAAGATGATTGATATTTGTTATATTTGGTTACCGCACGAGTGTTTCTCACTTGGGACGCTAGTGCGTCTTTCCTAGGTGGAAACTTCACAATCAGTTTACAATATTTCTTGTTATCCTTATCATTTATTATCTTTGTCTGTTATAACTCACTCATAAATAAAACGATCGCTTTATGCACTGTGGTCAATTAAGTGGGCATCAATTTCAGGGTTTTATCCTTGCTGTCATCTGTTCTGATGTCTTCTCCAATCATTGTCAAATGATTTTTTCACGACCAGAAACAACAGGCATTAAAACCTGCTACTTTCCACATGACAATTATTCCGAAAAGTAAATAATCACCGATTATAACATTTATTCGTTATACAAGATTAATATGTTCAGCCACAAATAAAACATTTGTTAACATATCTGTCCTGCAGATCATGTGGTATGCATCTTATTATATACACATTGTAAAATGTAATGTTTGAATTATTTATAAACTAATAATTACTTTAAATATAGTCATTCGTTTTATGTACGATTTAATAAGCAATACCATGGCTTTTCATATTTCAATATATATAAATATATTACTTATTTAGATAGATAAGATAACTTGATAAATTTATTACAACTAATTTCATAAGATAAAAAGTCCATTGAGACAATTATTAAATATGCATTTTTGCAAACAGGAAAAGAACCTTTATATACACAATTATCACATTTAATCGTCTAGAGCGCTGAGAATATTATCCATTAATTATTGGTTATATATAATTCTACAAATTGTAGATTTCTATTGTCTGACAAACTGAAGGCCATGTCTACATGAGAATAATATAGATGGAGTTCCAGTCAGATTCTGAACTGATCTTAATAGTCCACAGAAGATGAATAGCTTATCAGAATGACTTGTCTTTTTATGTCATTATATATTGCGACAGATAATAATTAAATAAAGAGATTAAAGAAATAAAAGCAGCGGTTTATTTTAATATTGAAATAATATTAACTTGATCAATAACGGAATGGCAAAAAAACAACACAACAACAAAATGAAGTAAACATTCAGAAACGTAAGTAGAATTTAATGTAAAATGTTATTAAAGCAGATCAAATAAGAAAGATGCTCACACATACGATTTTCTACATGTTATCCGTTTTGTATCAAAACATTAGTGTTTACTCATCTATTCATAGCTACCCTTACATCCAATGATTGTATGTTATTACTTTATCTGAAGCTATTCACTTGAAATTTGTCCATCGTCAGCACATTGCTAAACATCAAAGATGTCCACTTCGTCCATTGTGTCTACCAAGTTTTGTGACCCCGACTTTTTTACTAGAACGTTCGAAGTCAGTGTCACAAATAAATCATTTCTTGGCCTGAATTTAGTATTTTACATGTTATTGCTTTTTCAAAAACTGATGACTCTTTGTCGGAAAGAAAGGACAGGATTGGTAACACCTAAAATTCTGAACACAAAGTGATCCCTCGGAAGCATTAATCACAACAGACTCGGTTTGATTGAGTCTGTACATGAGTGCTAATGAATACGAGCATCATTCCTCACGCCCCCTAGCACCGGCTTGAGCGGTACTTAATTCTCAACACTCAATAGTGCTGTCATCAATGATCCCGAAGGACCAGAAAAAATATAACAACACTGAAGTGAAGTACGGGGCAACTTTTTACAGCTGCCACACAGCACTTGATACCTGCTGTTGTGAAGTATAAAATCTGGAAACAAAGTGATCCCTCGGAAGCATTAATCACAACAAAATTACAAGAGAATTGCAGACTCGGTATTCGAGCAATAACGAGGCATACGTACAAGAGCGTACCAGAGCATTTCTCTACTTTCCTCATC